AACAGGAATCTTTTGCTAATAAATTTTTCTTTCTAGTGTTGCATAATAAGATATTTATGTTTATTTTTCCATACATCCAGTCATTACAAGGGCAGAGCTTGACAATAAGCACAACACACTTGGCAATATTTTTCCTGTATGTGCTGTAGAACACTATGAGAATAGTTTATAAGACTTAGTTATTAGTATAGTGATTAACGAACAAGATCGGTGAGAAAGCATGAACAGCTGCATGGTCACATTGTTTCTTCTACCCCGTTAGACTGCAGAGTCATCTAAGGCTTATTGCCATGGATTTGTATTTTTATGTACATATGAAGCTGTACACTGTACAGCATACATGTAAATAATCATATCACTGTCTCATTGTTCATATAAAAAAGTAAATTTGAAGGAACACTCTACCTACACAGTTATGAAATAGTTTACTGATGTTGATTTTTAATTTCCAATTGATAGTCAAAGAGTATTATGGAAGGATATTTATCTAAATTACCAAATTCACCATTTTTTGGGTTGCACAGTAATATTGCATGAAAACTTACAATTTCCTTCTAGTATGGAGCCTTTCATAGCATTCAAATTTTGTTTATGTTAGATGTATAGATGATCACTTTTTGTGGTTAGCAGAGTTATGTCATGTGTATATATAATTGAATACTAATAGCAAAACCTAGCTCTCTGATCAAATAATTTTAAGGTATCATTCAAGTGTTCACATTGTAAACATTTTAGTCTTTATTTGCACACACCCATATGATACAGATCACTCATGTTCTATAGTATTTTTTATCCCCAGCAGTATTTCAAGTGGTTGAACTTGTCAAAAATCATTTTAATGTGCCAAGAAGAGAAATTAGTTTTCTGGAAATTCATACACAATTTTCCTTTTGTTTGAATGTGTTCATGGAAGCTGTCTCTCTGGTCTATCTGAAATGAGTTTGATTTGACATGTATACCAAGAAAGACCTTTTTTCCTCAATTAGCTAAATTTGATCATACGATAGAGGAAAGTTTGCCAAAAACTGAATGAATTAATTATCATGGAAACTGGTGAATTTATGATGTTATATGGGGACTGTATAATGGGTTATAATCACTTTTACATTAGAACCTCAAATGTAATAAAATTCAGTTTATGTTCACTGTTACTTTGACCTTTAAAGAAGATTTCTGGAAGAAGTTATCTGGATGGACTAATTTAACTTTGAGCACATGGTATTTCTAAAATTGATTACATATTGAATGCACTGACAGTACCAGAAAGTTAATCAGTAAACTATTTTTTTCTAATCTTACAACCTTGTATTTATAATTGTACTTAGTTTGTTAGTGGTGATTGACTATTTTCTTGATAAGTGTTGTTGATTTAGAATGATTAGTTCTTTCTTCAGGAAACCATATTTTGTGTGAATGCAGTCTAAGAGATACAGTCCAACAGTAATGTGTTATACATATGAATGGTTACATAAATAATGCTTGGGTATTAAATGTTTAATTATTCTCATTCAACAGTATTTCAACATGAATATAATATGTGTAAACCTTACACTTAATTCCTGGAAGAGAGATCTGCAGTTTCAAATACTGACGTCATGTGGCACAGGTTACTTTTTGTTTTATTAGAGTTGAAAATAAAAGACAAATATCCTTTAGGTGGTCAGAGTAAGAGAATTGACGAACTGTGTATAGTAGACTAGTAAATAGTTTTGTATTCCGGAAATCACTTGTTAAAGTGGCACAACATACAGTATCAATCTAGATACAAGAGATTGATAAAGATGGAAGGAGCAAGATGTTTTGGTTATAAAATACCAAGTAAAATGAAAATGCCTAATGGCGAAGGAATGAAATAGTATTTTTTGCAGTACAGTATTTGTGTAGTTTTTATCTGCATATTTTATTTTAACTTTTTTTTTTTGTAAACTAAGCAAACACTCATTTGAAAATTATTATATGTTGTAGATTTTTTTGGGAAGATGAAGTATTTTGTTGTGAATTGAAAGGAAAACCCCAAATAAAGTTTTGAATTTTTTTTCTTTTTTATATTTTCTCTCTTAGATGGAACATCCTTATCATCATAAGTAATATCCTTTCCATACTCTTTATTACATATGTGAAAATGTATACAATTACAAGTAAATGTCACTGTATGTGTAATTATAAGAATTGCAGGTACTGTGCATATGTATACAGATATACACACATATTCTCTCTCTTTCTCTCTCTCTCTCTCTCTCTCTCTCTCTCTCTCTCTCTCTCTCTCTCTCTCTCTCTCTCTCTCTCTCTCTCTCTCTCTCTCTCTCTCTCTCACACACACACACACACACACACACACACACACACACGCACACGCACACGCACACACACACGCACACACACGCACACACACACACACACACACACACACACACACACACACACACACACACACACACACACACACACACACAGCCCAAACACACTCATACAAATCACACTATCCGCATTGTGGTCAGAA